CCAATGTATGAGTAGCTACGCACCTTATTGAGCCTCTACGAGACGAATGCATCACTTTAGCCATGCTGTGGACACTGCTCATGCTGCCTCTTGACCCTTCTTGCTCTGAACGACAAAGTATTTTCCCGCAGTACGTTGCGCGGTGCCAAGGGGATTCCATGCCTCTGCCGTCTTTGCATCTTGATCCACAGCGGCCTTGTCGCCCTTGACACGCCTCGGCCGTTGTCGATGTCCGAAGGCCACTTCCTTGTTCAAGGCCGACCGCAGCTCTGCGAGCCATACCGTCGTCGCCACCCGCCCGCGAGCCGTCTCGTCCCGCAAAGCACGCAGCGGCTCGACACCCCTTGTGTCGACGGCCTGCACGTCGCGCACGAAGCGGAGGTGCGCGTGTAGCGCGACCAGCAGGGCGGACGTGGCTTGAGGCCTCGGCGTCGTGCGCAGGGCCGAGAGCGAGAGGCACAGGCGGCAGGTCGTCGGCGAGATGTAGTCGGTCATGGTGGGAGACATTAGCGGTCCCGAGAGGACGCCGGGGCAGATCCAGCACGACATCAGTTCTGGCGCCCGGCGGCCACGTGCTCGAGGTCAGCGACCGGTCGGCCGAAGGCAGCGCGAGCGCCATTGACGCAGGGAGCATTTACGCGCCGCCGGACCCCTACGACAGCGTGACGTCGCTGCGCGAGAAGAAGTCGACGCGCATGGTGGAGATTGTGGCCAAGGTGCCGTTCAAGGAGGTGCTCGACTTTGATCAGCATCTGCGGAGCAAGACGGGCGGGCGACACTCGATGACCATGGCATTCGACAGCCTCGATCGGGTCGTGGGACAGCGGGAGAAGACGCTGTAAGATGGAGAAGTGTACAATGTGTAAATGCTCAACTGAAGGAGCTGCCCCCAATGCTAAATATAGACTGTACTACCATCCCTTAAGAGGACATTGTCCCGTCTTATCACCGCCGCCATGACCCAACGCCAGAAGAAATGCATTTCCGTCAGTCTACGACACAAACTCCCATGTGCCAGGTAGGCTTTTAGCCCCCCTCCTTAGGCCCCCAAACAGCCCCACCCTTCTTCCCATGCCGTCTAGATGCTGCGCTTGGCAAGGCCGCACTTTGTCAAGCATTCCTCCACGCCGAGGGCAATGCTCGCAGGAATGGCGCCGCGGACACGGTCAATGTCCTCGCCGGCGATGCTCTGTCCAAAGGCGGCAGCAATGACATCGTCGCTCATGGCGAAGGATCCGTCGAGGGCCTGGAGGGTGCCAAAGTCTTCGTTTGCGAATGAGGCTACGAAAACGGCGGGCTCACAGCTATGATCATGTTAGTACTTTCATTGGGTTTACAGGAGTCAATGAAGCAACTCACTCTGGGTTGAACTGGGTATGGATGGAACCTTGGTAGAAGGGCGTCATCATGAAGGGACACAGCTCGGTGCGGATGACGCGCCGGCTGCCGTCCGCATTGAGGATGCCGTTTTCGGGCACCATTTCGGTGATGAGGCGGCCCGAGATGACCATTTGCAGCTCGGCGGAGCGAGGGTGGACATGGAGCGTGTTCATGCCACAGGGGTCGACGCGGCCGAGAGCCATGCCGGACGAGGTGCCGACGAGGGCCGGGAAGGTGACGCGGTTAGCGGCAACGAGCTCGCCGCCCTTTCCTGGCTTGGGCTGGGGCTGGTTGAAGTTGAAGATGAAGTCTTCGTTGTTGGGCAGGAGGCTGAAGTACTCGGCGGCACTGTGACGTGTCAGCGTGACTGTTGACGTCGGGAGCCGGTTTAGATGAAAGACTTACTTATCAGCGAGCCGGAGCTGCTTGGTCAGGCTCGTGGTGGGAGTGCTGTGCGTGGTATTGGTGTAAGGTACACGGACAGTGGACGGCATAGCCATGGCGGTGGAGGCCAAGAGCATGGCAGCACTCGCAAGAAGGGTGGAAGAGTACATCTTGAACAGGCTCGGAGGCGATGGACGTCGTGTGAAGGCAGTGGCTCCTTGTCTTGAGGCTAGGAATATTGAGGCTAAGAATCTTGAGACTAGGAATATTCAGACTAGAAGAGATACTCAGACGGTGAAAAACTGCTGGCTTTCGTGATGCTCAACAGGAGATAGAGATGCTCTGACAAGGCCAAGACCATCACATATACTTATACGTCTGGTTCATGCCCATTTTACGGTTTGTCCTGACCCCCTACCTCTCGCTCCCACCTAGAAGGATCGCAAGCCTCCCGGACTGGATGGCATCCGATGGACGACGCAACTTGACCGACGCAAGATCCTCTGGCCATTCAGTGTCATGGTCTCGGCCCGGTAGCTCAGCAGCCGGTGGGATGTCTGTCAGCTCAATGTATCCAGGTAGAGGAGTTTTTTTGGACGACTCTAAAAATTGCAGCAGACACACTGGCGTCAGATGAGGGTGGAATGGCCGAATTCGCTCCGCCTCGCAAAGAATGGAGTTGAGCGGACAGCCGACAGCGAACTTGGTGTCATCCGCCTGTCCTCCCTGAGGCATTGGATGCACGTCAGTGTCGTCCTCGCAGCGTTGGGTGCTAGTGCTGGGCTTTTTTCGGACGCTGTCAGCAGCCCGCAGCTTGTCCGGCAATGGATGTACCCGACAAGAGGCTGAGCAAGTGCGGAGAGAGGGGCCGTTGAGATGGTCAGGATGGTGGTGGACATGTTTGCTATATTGGCTAAGGTATTGTGTGCCGGAAGGTACCGGTGCCTTATGTAAGCCAGCGACAGCGTGCACAAGAAGGAAGCGCTTGTTCCAGGGCTGACTGTCGGCTAAAAATACAAGGCGGCCGCTGCGTGAGACGGGAAGCGACAGAGAGAGAAAGCGGGGGTAGCATTGCTGGCCGGTGCTGCTGGCGCGTTGCGTCGCAGTTGGCACGCTGCCTGGTCACAGTAGGCTAATCGATCCGGCTCGTTCCACGCCTCCCGCCATACCTTACCTTATTGCGGCGAGCGAGGGCCAAGCCAAGGGTGCACGTGACCTACCTAACCTACGTGGGACCTCGCTCTTGTGTTGGTGTCAACAAGATGACTCGGATGGAGCCGGTTCATCTGATGCAAGTTGTCAATTTCCACGATGGGACACACTATCGAACGCGACACTTTGCTCGTCCTCTCGGCCGACTCATGTCTGTTTCTCGTCTTTCTTTTCGTTTTCACTCATGCCGTAGAGCGCCCGAACAAACAACGACAAGCTGTCTTGCCCTCGACGGCTTGCCTGGGACATTCAGAGTCATCAGCACCGTTGGGGTTTCCATGTACAGCGCCTCCTTGCATATGAGACACGTGGAGACGGAGGCTGCGTCTGCTGTATGCCACGCTGTCAGAGTGCCGGCCCCGATGCCAAGTCCATGGAGCCCAGGAGCGGTCATTCCTCGAGGATATACATACAATGCTTTGCTCATTTACAATCACCTTGATTGCATCATACATTATGCACCCGCGTCCTCGTGCCGAGAGAGTCGGCATGTCGACAAGACGCCGCATGCACTATGGCACAGGCCCTTTAATCATCGAGTGGTGATGATGGTGGAGGCAGCGAACACACAAGGTCCAGCATCAGAGCGTCGCGCCGCTGTACATAGTACAAGTAGCAACAAAGACCCCACCACGTAGGAGCCTGGACGAAGGCCTGGGAGAGCGCCAAAGGGCCTGGATGAGGGCCAGAGAGCCTGGTAGAGGCTCATCTCGGTTCATCTAGCGACCATCTTGCGCTCACTCTCCCATTGGCCCTGGTGCCTCGGGCGCACCCAGGCAAATCTCTATCCTTGAAATGATGCCCCCCCCTGCGATGGCCCTTGACAGAGTCTACCCCATTTTAGAGAGGAGAGGGGTGGGATGATTGGGTGGTCCGCCCTTCTGCAGCACAGCTCTGGTCGCATGAGGAACCAACGCCATCTGGGGGTTGGAGCGAACGGGCAAGACGGGGGCAACCGACGTCCTGCTTCATTTTCCCCTTGACTTGCACAAATTCAAACACAAGTCCGTCCCCCTTCCAGAACGTCCCTCTCCACCCAACATGAAGATCGTCACCCT